TATGATGATTTGGTAGTATATTAGGGTCATCAGGTAAGTATACATGTGCTTCAGTTCTGTCGTTACTAACTGAAATTAAGAGATAACATGCAAGATGCTTAGCATTGTTTTGTATTAAGTGTCGTCTAAATGAATTGATAGTTTGTGGTATACTACAAAGTTTTTAATATTTAAAGTATAGATAAAAATTTACAATACCAATTAAAATACTTCATAGTAATTTAATAGATATCTTATAATACTTTTAAATACCTAATATTAATATATTAATTAAAGGATTTGTATTTAGCCAATTATTCTACTCTTCAATCTAGTGATTCTGGCCGATATGCAAAAAATTGGCTAATTCAAAATTTTCGGCTTAGCCGATCAATTTTTTTCAAATCAGCTGATCGATTTTATATATGCAAAAAATAGAAAATATAAGTTTATTCATGATCACATAATAAGCAAAATAAAATTTTAGTGATTTATAATACGTAGTGCTTAGTATTGCTTAAATATCTCTTTCACATGGTAGTAACATAATAGATTAAAATAAAATACGCATATAAAGTATTTTTACGGCTTGCTAAAAAAAAAGAAAATATCATTTCGAATATATGCTATTATTTTCAATTAGAATCATATAGTATGAAAGTTAGTTACTTTATAGGATTCGAATACAATGTAATAAAAAAATCAACCACAAAAAATCTATTATAATAATTGCGCTACAACAATCTAATCAATCAATCGAAAAATAAAACATCCAATTTTATTTGGCTTGAATAATCTGATTGCATTCTGGTAATATTTTTAGAAATAAATGCTATCAAAGGGGATCTAAATCATTGAGATGTTTAATTCGCTATATAAATCAAACTATATATCAAGTCATATAAGATTTTTAATAGTATATCGCACACTTTATGAAATAACTAACACACGAGTATAATTCAGGCTATTATTTTAATTAACGCTCATGAGCGTTATTACGCGAAAATATAATAGATAATTTTAAACTTATCTATATCTTGAATAATTATGTTTAAGTGCATTTTATATCTGAATTTGCACTATACCAAAATAGGTTAGTTGACTTAAAAAATAAATAACAATAATGAAAGATAACTTATCTAGGAATAAACCAATGCAGCTGTGCATTTTGATTGTCCTAAGATTTTTTTTTTGTATTATCCTATTCTATTTTGTTTGCTTTATTATAAATATAGCTTAATCAATTTAAGGCCAACTTAGTATTATTAATATTAGGGTGAAACTCATGCCAAATTTTAGTAAAACCTGCTCTAATTATAAGGTTGGGTAAAATCTGTGTTAATATAGTGTTTTTTATCTATTAACACAAATTCGTATAGTGATCTTAAATGTTTAGCGTGGGTTTTAACTAGTCATATTATAAGAATAAAACAACATTAGTATTAATATAAAAAAAAATACATGTAAAAATAAACAATTATATAAATGTAATAAATATTGTTACTGAATATTTAGATGGTTTATATAAATATAATTTCATGTTTCAATGATTCATTTATGATAAGCAAACGACCTTACACAAGGCAAATAATTTGCAAATTAAACAAATATTAGTTTACATTAAAATTAAATATAAAAAGAGAACAATCATACCTCTAATAAATTTAATATTCATTACAAAATGTCCTTACAAAACTTCTCAGATGAAGACTTGTATTTAGATGAACCATATTTACTATCTGACAAAGAATCAGATTCTGATGAAGAAACATCTTTATCTTTAGATGAGGAACAACATTTATTGTTAAATGAAGAGCCGCATTTGTCATTAGATGAAAAGTCGAACTTGTCATTAAATGAACCTTTAAATAACACATCTTCTTTAAATAAAGAATCATCTAATACATTTGCTCAAAGTGTCAAAAGAAAAATTAGTAATATAAAAAATTCTAATACTAAAAAAAGCCTAAGCTGGGAAAGAGTTGGATATGGAAATATATGAAAAAAGACAAAATTAATAAAAAAGTTAAATGCAATGTATGGATTGGTAATAATGATAAAAAAAAAGTGTCTAAGTGATTTTGAACTTACAACTAGCACAACGAATCTAGCTGCTCACCTTCGAACTGAATACAGATTAAATAAAAATGGATCTTTATTGCCACTAAGTGGTGCACAAGGGACAACCCAATTACAACCTACTCAATCAGATCCATTGCAATATACACTGTCAGAATTGTTTAGTTGTAAAATACCATTATCAAAAAAAAACAAAACAGAATTACTTCCTGAATTTTATCTTAGATAATTGATAATATGCAACCCTTTAATGTTTTGAAAAATGAAAAGTTTCATAATCTTTTATATGAGGCAGAGTCACAGTATCAATTTCTGGATAAAGATACGTTTAACAAAAAATGTATAAGGCAGTAAATTATACTGAAAATAGGTTAAAAAATTTAATTACCAATACATTAAAATTCTTTTTATTTACCACAGACCTATGGACCCAAAACTACAAACCATATATTGGCATTATGGCCCACTGGCTCTCTTCAGATTTTGAAATGTATAAAGCTTTGCTTACAATTAAAAGTTTTCTGTATCCACATACTTCAGAACATATTGAGGATTGTTTATGAAAAGAATTAGTTAAGTAGAATTTAAGCGATAAATGTATAGTGGGTGTAACTGATAATGCTAGCTCAATGGTAAAGGCAATAAAAGATATTGGAATCTTATACATAAGGTGTATAGCTTATACTATTTAGCTCAGAATTACAGATAGTTTAAAACTAGCCACTGACTTGATTAATCGTGCAAAAGCTCTGAATGCACTTGTCGCTAAAAAAGATAAGTTTAAAGAAAGGTTACGATTAGTACAGTTTGAAATAGCTAAGGAAAAAAATTCTTCACTTAATGATAAAGATATTTCAGTTCTAGATCCGATCTCTAATGACACTGTAACCAGGTGGAATTTAGTTTATTTTTTATTAGAGCGGTTACTTTTTTTTTACGAAGCTATTAAAAAATTGTATGAAGATCTTGCAAAAGACAAAGAAATAAATGTAAGAAATTTTGCTAAAACATTAGAAAATTTACTTTTTAATAAAGAAGAATTGTTAGGAATTCAAGAGTTAGTTGAGTTGCTAAGTCCTTTTGCACATGTTATAACCATAATGGGTAGAGATCATTACCTACCTTTTCAATGATTTTACCACTAATTAAAGTATTACAAAAACATCTATTCAAAAAAGAAGCATCCAATTGTTTGTAATGTTCATAATGAGATAGAACTTTCATTTGGAAATTGCTAGGATGAGCCAGTGGTAGAAGGGTATACGGTTCAGCTCACTTCACCGACGCTCGTTTCGTAGAAATAACATTTCATCGACAACAATTCACCGACATTATTTC